TCCCCTTCCACAAAGGTGAATCTTGCGGGGGGGACGCACTCTTTTTTGCATTTTTTTTTGTTTTTTACCCTCTTTGGGTGAAATCCTGGCTTGGCAGCAGCACTGCCATTGGTGAGTCACGCAGACGAGTGTCACATCTCCTCCGTGAAGGCGGTGGCTGAGGCAGTGTCATTTTCTGTGACGTGCAGCCCTGTGCAGCCGGCTGGCAACCATGACCCGGCCAAGGACAGCCAGCGAGGATGGGGTGAGCCCGGGGCCACCCACAGCAACGGAGAGGTGCTTCCCAGGGGAGGCGGCTCTGTGTCCTTGCTGGTGAGACATGCACCCGGGGACGTCTTGGGCTGGGCTGCAGGTAACAGGAAACAGCAGAAACAGCCCCGGAGGGACAGTTGTGGGCAATGCCCTAAACCAGGATGGTTCAGACATCATCTCGGGGTTGGGGACACCCTCCAAGGCTCGCTCTCAGCCCCGAAGCCCCTCAGCGCTGGGAAAGGAGCTGCTCTGCCCACGAGGGCAGGTCCTAGAGCTGCTGAGAGCCCTGTGCATGAGCTGCTCGGGAAGAGATCCTGGAAAACAACCTGAAGTTTTTCTCCCTTGGCTTTGGACATCTCCTGTGCTGGGCTGAATAAAAGCTGCATTTCATTGAGCTGAGCCGCGCTTAGCCTGTCACTCCCTAAAAGGCAGTACTCAGTGCTTGATTTTCAGAATTATTCAAGTGGTTATGGTTAGAAACGTGACCAAGAAGAGGGCACACAATGTACCACACCTATCAGCCGATAACTCCTTGCAGAGTTTTTTCTGAGTCATTTGATGAGTTTACCGAGAAAAACAATTTTTTACTTTTGTCAGCAGCATTGCAGAGCTGGGGCTGAGCGAGTGGCAGGGCTGGCGAGCTTGCAAGGTAACCGGCCCCTGGTTTCTGTCGATAATGAACTGCACTAATTAAGAGGGAGAAGAGCAGCCAGATTTTCGGAGGCTGGGAGAGGGCGCTGGCAGCCGCGGAGCACGTTTCCATCGCGAAGAGCAAAGCGCATTGGTGCAGAAGCTAATGGAAAGCGTGATGACGGGGCGGATGACACCCATCTGGGTGCTGGTGTGATTCCCTGGGTTTCGAGAGGACCGTGCCAGATTAGCACTTGTTCAAACGAGATTTGAAATGGCCCTGGATTGGAGGGCCGGGTGATTGCTTGACAATTAAACCTCTGGTTTTTAAGGCGCTGAGAACTACTCAGAGCTGCAGCATAGCACCACTGCTACAGTCAATCTTCCCATTAGCGCCCAGCTATGATTAGGATAGGGCTGTCTGACAATTTGCACCACTGCAAATATGTAAGAAATTACTCTAGTGCATCAAAACCAAGTGGAAACATTTTCTTCTGCCTGTGGAAACAGAATTTTGTTCCTTTGGCAAGGGTTTTGGTGAGCTACAGTATTACCAGGAGAGATGTAAAATCCTACAAGCATTTTTGTTCCAGGTGGCCGAGTTGTCTTTTTGTGGATCTTCTCCTGAAGGATGTCAGGAAGAGTTCCTGAGTTCAGATACTGTTGCTGGACTTTGTTATTAAGTCTTGATTTTTCTTTTATTAAAATTACTGAAGGCATTTCTGTCATTCATATTGTCTAGTTCTGGGGATCTGTGTACAAATCATTATCAGCTTCATATCTGAAATGCTGGTGTACCTAAAGCTGCTGTGAACTATGAGTAATGACAAAGAATGGCAAACCAAGAATGGTCTGTAAAGTATTATCAGATCTTCTTATAGCATGAAACTACATTGAAATGCACTATTGAAACTGGTACCTTATGACTCTGAAACACTTTACTGGAAATCTAGTGTTAACGTGTGCCTGTGGTCAGTTCTTGACAGCACGGCTCCCGCAGATCAGAACAGTCTGATTTTTTTTTTTTTTAGGGATTTTTTTTTTTTAGGATAAAAGAAAAGCTTTTGGATATTTGAAGTGAATAAATGTGGAGCTGGGTCAGCAGCGGATCACGCTGAGCAGGACTGCAGTAAGTCACGGTAAGTGGTGTGTGCAGGACATGGCTCTCCAGTGACAATGCTGGAGCAGGGCCGGGAGCTGCTGCTGAATTTCCCCGACACAACCGGCTGTCAGTGAGTAGGTGTCTCGTCTCCTGTCATGCTCCCGGGCTCTCCAGGAACATCTGCTTCATTAGTCGTTTCAACAAGCCATTTGTCTGCAGCAGTCTGGTGTGTTCTGCTGTAATTGAGCTGTTTCTGTTACCATAGCAGTGATGCCAGCTCTGCGGTGACGTGAAGGCGGTTGTCTTCATGGCGGGGTGAGGCTGAGCATTGGTCCTGGCAGTGGTCGGAGTTTATATAAATGACAAGCTAGTGGTACACAGGGCTTAGTTTTTAATTCCCTAGCATGGTGGCAGCTGGCTGACAACCCTGTATGCTGCCTTTGCTTGTTATTTGGGTCGTAACTACTTTTAGTGTGCCCTGTCACAACGTGCCTACCATAAAATCCCGAGGGAGGAGCCCTCATTTTAGCTGGGAGTTGCCTGGCAGGGTTCCCGGGGAGAGGACCACTTCCCCGCTCCCAGCGCGCTCCCCAGCGCTGCCGTCCGTGAAAGGCTTAATTATTCTGAGAGCGCCTGGGGGAGTCAGTTCCTATTTTACTATCTGAGCTCATCTGCATCATCACACTGCTGTGTTTCAGAAATCCCTATTTCTCCTTTTCCTCTTCCTTCCCAGAGCATGTGAGAAATGGCTTGCTGTTTTATTGAGGATATTTTCATGATGCTGTAGCTGGCAGGTAGATGAGAGCCTCCCTTAGGCAGGCTGCCTGGGGAAAGCCAAGCGTGGGTGATTCGCTTCCATCAGGACTTGGTCCAACGCACGTCGAGATCCCTGCTGGTGCCATCCCGTCTGCTCCAAAATGCGAGGGTTTCAGGTCTCCCCCAGGTCCAGCACTTGGGGTAATCAATCGCCACCATTGCACACATACTTAACCAGAAATGAAAAACCACCTGGATTGTCTCCCCTCCTCTGACGTGGATCTCCTCCTCCTTGCCCTTGTGGTGAGGGTCACGCTATCGCCTCTGCTTTGCAAATGGTCAGTGACAGGTCAGTGCCAAGGGACGCCCGCCCAGCACCACGCAGAGGTCTGTAATGGAGCAAGGACCCCGATAATACAACATTTCACTCCTGTTCCCCTATCACCCCAGCATCTTTCCTCCACCAGCATGGCTGGCAATTTTTAACCCATGACTGTTTCTTGCCTGCTGGCATTTGGCTGACCTGTCTTAAGCGTCAGTTCAGTTACGAAAAGGAAAAAAAGAAGAAATCCCTTCTCATCTGCAATTTACATAATTAAGTAAGAACTCATTGCCTCTTCCCTCGTTTCCTCACCGAGGCTGGGTGTGCACCGGGCTGCCTGGGAACGCTGCCGGTGCTGCTTCCCCTGCTCCAAGTGAAACTTTCGCTGCAATTACAGGCAGCAGCTGGGAATTGGGGGAGGAAGGCAGAGATTAACAGCCTTGTGCTGCTGAGGATCCCTCCAACACCTCAGCAAGGGCAAATGCAACCTGCTGCAGATTTGGACCTGCCTTTTAGCTGTTTGCTTTTACAGTGCAAAGGCACAGGGATGAGAGAGGCACGTTTGGTGCATTTGGGGTAGTTTCAGCAATGCTGTATGCAATACTATGACTAGCCTGGGCATAAAATCTATTTGCCTAGTCTTCCTCTGATGACGGATATATGCTCAAGATTGAGCTTGGTTATCAATAAATTACTCACCCAGCAAAACTTTATAGAACAGCCCTGGCCCACAGGCAGTGGCACACAAGATATACCTGCATTGCAACAGGCACATGCTCAGGTTGCTGCTCTCACCCAGAGCATCGTGGCTGCTCTGGAGGTTGGCTGTGGGATTAGAGGGGCGTCTTTGCCACCTCCATGCCCTCTAAGTCCATCTGACCTTCTCTATCGGGTACAGGTAGACCAAGAAGTTTTTTTAACTCTCATTTTTGTTTGTAGACTAAACTTAGCTGTCTCCAGAGGGGTTACAGAAACAACCAAACTAGCCTCAGAGCCAACAGCATGGTGAACCAGCCTGGGTTTTGCACCAGTACTGCCACATTCATGTGACAGCATGCCCCAACTGGCAAACCCTGGTTCCCCGGGGACAGCCTGGATCTGAAACGTCGCTATGAGAACATGCCTGGTCTGCTCGAGGACCTTGGCTGCATCAGTTTTGCTCAGCAGCTAATGCTTGCGGCAGGGTAATCATAGGCTTTGCAGTCAAAGCCTTTGCTTGTGGGTAGAACTTCCCTGCTGCCGCTGGGCTGGCGGACTTTTAAAGGTTTGAGTGAAATTTCTGTCCTTCTGCAGGGTGATAGCTTTGGACTGTGCATAATGATCACATAAGTCAACCGTGCTCTGAAAACCAAGTGACTTCTGGCATCGCGGTGGGAGCTGTGTCATCCCAAAGCCCTGCCCTCTTGTACCGGAGCATCTCCAGCCTCCAAATACCAGGGACGTGCAGATGGAGAGAAGTGTCCACCCACCTGAGGAGCAAGCCTGAGAGCAGGGTCCCCCCATACCCGGCGGGTGAAGGCCCTGTGTGCCAGGACAGTGATGGAGAAAGGTCTTGCCAACTTTCTGAGTCACACTATTTTAATAGCACGCCATGTCCTACTGCCAGAAATCCTCCTACCTTGGGGGGTTTGGACCACTGGCGTCCCAGGGGGGTGATGCTGCTCGGCTTCCCACACCCCGACGCCTCTGTGGGAACCAGGAACGGCCCCTCTCCAGGGGGGCCTTGGCGGCACAGCTCTGTGCCGGGGGAAGTCCCCGAGCTTGGCGTTTTGGGGATGTAACCCCCCATCCTTCTCATCCCGTCCTTCTTCCCGAATGAAAAATGATACAGCAATGCCAAGATTTCCCGCCTCCGTAGGTTAGGGAAACACCTGTGGGTGAGAGAGTTGGTCCCTTTCACTAGCTCATTAATTCAGTAAATCACAAAGGGAAATACATGCTGGGAAAAGCAAGAAAAATCCCAAAAGTTAATCCAAGAGTTATTTCCTCCCGATACCTGGATAAAAACGCTTTCTTCGGAGCTCTTCAGGTCAGATGTCAGAAAGACAGATGAACCCACATCAAAGAACAAGGTAAAATACTGATTTTACCCTTTTGCTCTATGTGCTCATGTATATTTCCTTGTATTCCTATAACGTGTCTCTGAAAGGTTTTTTTTTTCATTAATAACCTTAATTTTCAGTGCTAACAGAACTTGCATTTGAAGTGAGCTATTTCTGAGGGAAAGCATTTTCTTTTGTGATCGGGCTTCGGGATCTGCTGCTTTCAGGTGCAGTTACCTCCTGCTGCTCTGAGTCAGTAGACTTTTAAATGTTTAATTTATCTGTATTTATTTTTTCTGATGAAAAATTTTCAGAACAACTTGATCTATTTACATGCAATCTTTTAGTGGTATTTTTTTTTTCTTTTTCTTCTTTTGGTATCTTTTGTAAAATATTTGTTTTTTGGGTTTTTTTTTTCTTTTTCTCTTGCACTTGGGGAATAAAGAAGGAATGGGTAAGAGATACTAATTGGTGTGGGTTTTTTAATGCACGTGTACATATACAAGTACTACATAAAACTTGTATATTTTCATAAATATCACAACTGTGTTATTTAGGAAAGATAGAGAGGCAATATTGTCTTCCTTGAACAGGTCTCCCAGGCAGCCGGCCATGCTTGCATCCTGCAGCAACATGAAAGGATCCCACTTGTTCCTCTACCTCTTCTCCATGTCATGCTGGCTGAATTTGACGCCGACAGCTGGGAACAAAATCTTCCACTTTGGACCCTGCAGGATTTCAATGAGCGTGACTGAGATTAGGTCTGGTTTCACCGCAATTAAAGCCAACATCGTAAGTATTGCTCTGGGCTTTTGTGGAGCTGGGAAGCTCTGTAGTCAGGTGCTCCCAAAGCACCTCTGGAGCCAGCACGTACATCACCATCTCTCTCTTCTCCCGTGCAGCAAGCCAGAGACCCCATCAGGACCCTGAGCATCTTGTCTTACCCGCACTCTCTGCACAGGGTTAAGGTAGGTGTCCTTATTGTGTCTCCAGTTTTTCTCTGAATAATTTTGACCAGCTAGCATCCTAACAGCGGTCATGAGGTGTACCAGCTCAGGGCATTTGGGGAAGTTATTTAATACCATGACTTCTAAGTTCCAGCGAAACACAGACGCTGGCAGACAGCGCAGGTCAGGGAGGATAAAGTGATGCGGATCACGTATGTGAAAAGAGGTGGGTGTCCCACTGCCGGTTCCTGCATCGGGCTTTCACCCTGACTGGCTTTCCAGAAATGGTGGGCAGAGATTTTTTTTTGTTGCACATGATGCTCCACTTACAGGAGCTTTAGCTGTGGCTGCCCTCCACCTCGGCCAGTGGAGGCATAGCGAGGTGAATCAGGATTTGGGTAGAAAGCTATTAAAGAATCCAAAAGCAGGTGAATGTGGTCTTGGGAGGTGAAATATATTATAAATAAGTATTTTGCAGCTCTCTTAAACTCTAAGGCACTAGACATGGGCCACTGCTTCAGGTTTCAGCCTCTAATACCCAGCTACAAAATCAGCTAATTATTTTGTTGACTCAATGAGACCTGCTGAGGATGGATCTCCTGGAAAATCAGTCTAAAATAATTTCCTATATATATGATCAATTTACATCAAGCATCACTGAAAAAGTTTTATATGAGTCAAAACATCCTGCTGTGCTTGGCTACCATGCTTGGGGTTAGAGATGGGTTGTTCTAGAGCGGGGCAGAAAGGCTGGCGACTATGGGTTTAACGCACTTTGGGAGACCTTTTAAAAATGAAATTTATTCCTTAAGTCTTCAGATAGATGCTGCATCACCCATCACCTCTTCAACTTCTACGTGGACAAAGTCTTCAAACACTGCAAGACCGAGGATTCGTATGTCAACCGAAAAATCAGCAGCATAGCCAACTCCTTCCTCAGCGTGAAGAGGAAACTTGGGCAGTGTGTAAGTCTTGGGTATTGCCATGGTTTAGTTTCATCTGTTAGTATTTGGTATATAAATAAACCTAAGTGTTTTATAAAGTTACAAAATCTTTATTTATAAAAATGTTTTTAACAAGAATACAAAGAAGCATGATGTGAAGACTGAGTATGTCTGCTGAGAAATTTTTATACTTGCCACTCATCAGCCAACTCCCACGTTAGTTCTTAAGAAAGATATTTATCCTGTCCCTCTGTTTATGAAAGTAAACTCTGTTCTTAGCTGAAGTCTGATTTAAGGACCTGCAGCCTTTTCCAGAGTTTAACAAGGTCTCAGTCTATACAGTAATTTCCAGCATAATTAGAAACTGATCTCTTATTTTTAAAAATTAACCCCAAACCTAATGAATTCTATCTTACTTTTCTAGCATGAGCAAAATAAGTGCATGTGTGGACAGGAATCCGCTAAGAAATTTAAGCAAATACTTGTGAACTACGAAGGGGTAAGTTGATGACTAAGTCTAGTAATTAACGCAGATATTCGGATTCTCTTTACATTGGGTTGTACCCCCTATCTTTGCTTACAACTTGTTCCTTTATACCATTTCAGCTGAATGTCACATCTGCAGCAATTAAATCCCTGGGTGAGCTGGACATCCTACTAGACTGGCTGGAGAAATCTCGTTAGAGAGCAGAAGGCATTAACGACCCACCAATGGCCGGGGCTAACAAAGCTGCTGGGACATTGCACGCACCAGCGGTGAACGGGAAAACAATGTACTGTATCAACCAGCGCAGCTTCTCACTGATTGCAGCTGTGTTCACTCAAACACTGAGTGTTTTGCTAGCCAGGTACATAGGCGAATGCATCGGCAGAGTCTTGCATTAAGATGGAAATACCGAGTTTGATCAAATCAGCATAGCACTCGCTTAGCAGACTTCTATCAAAGGATGCTCTCCAAGGGAAAATCTAAAAGGATTTCTCTTGCTAGCAGACATAAGCTGTGATCATTTAATGAAAGTATTGTTTAAATTATAAAATTTTTGTATAGGGAATGTATACTCGAGTTCTGAGTGTGCCTGCTGGAACTACTCTGGTGTAGTTAATGCTGCAGAGCAGTGCTCACAAACCTGGGCTCAGTCTTATGCAACTGCTGCAGCTGATCGCTGTGGCTGAAACAAGGTGCACAGGGTGAGAAAAGCTTCCAAGAATAGGTCCTAGCAGGTATGTCAGGCCTTAGAAATCTGTGTTTCCTTTTGAGATGATATTTTGAGCCTTATCAGTAAAAGAAAACTTTCTATGCAAGATATGTGGTTGCTGAATAGAAAAAGGTTCTTGTACGTATTGTGTAATTTACTGACACTCAGTAGCAAGTTTTGTGGAAATCTGTTGCAATTACTGTAAATAAACCCCACCTGAAACTGTGCTGAGTCTGTTTGTCAAAATTCTGAGGAATTATGTGTTTCTTGTTGGTGAAACTTTCTGAATTCACTGTGGTGCCCTTTGATAGCAGATACTGTCACTCCTGGTAATGCTAGCATCCCAGAGGTGATGCATCGTTCCTGGCATACCAGAGAGGGCATACCAAAGTTTAGACCCGAACGATACTAAATCACCCCAGCTTGTCCACGAGACCATTTTTATTGTGTATATATGTATAGCTGTGGTCTGTTTTCACCTCTTTTAGCCTCCAGTGGCTGCACACACATTGCTGGTACCCACTGGTTCTGCACGCTCCAGGTCCCTTTTCCAATGTGTTTTCCCACAAGGTGTTAACACACATATCGCTGCAGTATCTGACAACGGCAGGGGACTAATGTGTTAATAAATGAACCAAGACCACCCAGATCAACTCTCCAAGCAGCCAGGAGGTGTTACATACTCCTGGTGTCAGGGCCCAGGTAAATGCTGCTTATTAGCACTCTAGTCCAAATATTTCAAGTGATAAAGTCTTACTGCTGCATTCATTAGACGTAAGGCTTGAGTAAGACTGGAGGGTAGATCTCTGGCTTGGTGCGTTTTGCTCTAGGGATCAACTAAGCTGAGCAAGGTGTACCAAAACTCCTGCCGGCTGTGGTGGCATGAGCACAACCAGGGCGCACTGCATGCTCACCCCTGGCTCTGAGCAGCTCTTATTGCTGTTCGGGTCGAGTCATTGCTTCTAGGTCTGAATCCTTCAGGCTTGCACAAACCTCTTCTCAGCACCTCTGTTCCCATGGGACAGTCCAACACTCTCCAGCTCTCCCTTTCCTGCCCACAGGCACAGGCAAGCTTCAGCAGCTGGGATGGACGGAGGGCTGGCTGTTCCCAGCTTGGGCAATTTCTAGTGATGCTGCAGAGGCGACACAGGGAAGGCTTTAGCTGCAGAAGAGGCTCTTTAACAGGATTTTGTTGTTATGGAATAAGGTCCTTGTGTCCTCAAGGACAGTGTACTGCTTTGGTTTCATCCCCATCACAGGGGGACCCTGGCCAAGACCTCCGGCAGCACACTGTGCGTCACCAGAGCCTCGCGTCAGTCCGGTGGGCGCTGTGCCTTTCATCAGGTGCCAGCAGAATGAGGAGCTGCAGAGGAGGAGGAGACTCCTTGTCCCTTCCCAAAAAGGCTTGGTTGGTGACCTGGTGGGGTGAGTTCACCAGCATTTGCCTATAGCATATATGCATGTACTTCACGCTGAGCGGGATTTGGTGATTCACTTTTAAAGGAAAGATCACCTTGATTGCTCACTATCCTTCCTCAAATATTTGCTTATGCCAAAGGAAAGCTTCTCAGGGCTTTGATTCTTTTAATTTGCTTTCTCATGTGGTTTTGCAGTGTGACTTTCATTTGTCCTGGTGCCAGGGCATAAACGGATGAATACACCCCTCCACGCTCTGTCAGTGGTCACGAAAGCCGATCTTCAACACCATCATCTTTGAAATTAACCATTGAAAAATGACAGGTATCTTGCACGTACCATGACTTTCTGTTAAAGAAAAAACTTTAGGAATGAAGCGGTAACGTAATGAGACACCACAGCTTATCACTGACCAAAGGAAATCAGTTGGCTTGTTTGGCAAACAGTCTGGTGAAGGAGATGGAGCTGCTTGGTGAGGTCCCTGTGGACCTTTCCATTGATCATGGTGGGCTCTAGATCACAGCTTGAGTGAGAAGTGTGGGTTTTATTCCACGTCCTCAGCTTACTCTGTCACAATTATTATTATTTATCAGATTTCATTGGTTTTGTATCCTGTGCGGAGGGTTGCATGCCTCAATCCACGCATGTTTTATTGCTTTCATGTCAAACTTAAGTTTACACTTTCCCATCCGCTGCAAAGCACTGCAGCAGCCCAGGGACGTGCCCCTTTGGAAATGAGGTGCCAGATGGAAGTGTCAGCGGTGGGAAGGAGCAAGAGCCATGGGCAGGCAGCTGCTGGGGCTGAGGGGTGCAGGCAAAGCCGACTGGCAGGCTGCTCAGCCCATCCACATTTCTCGCCCTCTGCACCTCTCCCGGGAGTTTAGCTCATTCTGGCTGCTCCCAGCACAGTGCGGGAGGAGCAGAGCTGAGAAAAGGACGCCGGCGGGCAGGTTGAAGAGGAAACGGATTTGTGAAGGGAGAGCGAAAGGGGTTTTCTCCTCTCAGAAATTTCCAAACCTTAGCGTTTTCCTGCAGCTTTATGACTGCTCACCCCCGGGGGACACTTTCCGAGTGCACGCCTTTCCTATTGCACCAGAACAATTCATTCACTTCCAGCAACTCCAGGCAGGCGCAGACCTGTCCTGGCCCCTCCTCACCTTTTCCGATATTCAAGCCCCTTTCCACCGTGCTGCCGAGGGGATGCAGCCCAGGACATGAGGCAGATGAGTAATAACCTGACATTTGAGGTCCTAGCCTTGGTATCAGTAAGGTGATGACTATTGCGATGTGGATGGGAGAGCAGCCCTGAAAACACAAATGTAGGGCTGGGCGGGGAAACACAAATACCACTGGAGCTGCTGCCCTCCTACTCGCAGTGAGCCAAGCTCATCTCAGCGCTTACTGTGGGGAGGTACGTGATTCAGGCATAATTTGTTGTTTATCCTTGATGAAAACTCTGTGTCTGCAGGCTAACGCAAACAGCCGTTGCCTGACATCTTGCTGAACTACCATACTGTTTTCATTTTAAAGTGTAGCTAATATTTTACTAAAACAGAAATACACTTGTGGTGTTACTGTGAGACCATCAGCTCAGGCTCTAGCCAGGGTGATGCTCCCCACTCTTTATATTTTATGGCTTGCTATCAGAGCTGCACATAACCAACATGGGCTCAGGAATTTGAATTTATTTGTGCAGTTTCTGCCCCTTCTCTCCTGAACGGCTCTGGCCCCGTCAGACACCTCCGCAGCCCCTCTCTTTAGCCAGGCAGGCACCAGCCCATCCCACTCCTGGCATTCAGGGAAAATTGCTTCTCTGCTTTGTCACAACTTCTTCATCATTGCTGCTTCCTACATTGCGTTATGTGCAGGGCATTCAGCTTTCTGTACCCGTATCTAACTGACAGCAGTGTCGTGCTGCTGTTTGGAAATCTGTGCATCAATAAATTACTTTTCTCTGTTTAGTCATCCACTCTTGAAAATAAGACCACGAGACAACATTTAATTATAGTCATCCTCGTTTCTGCCTGGATGAACATGAAGTCAGCCAGGGAAAATATGTGAGTGATGTGTGGCTCAGGTTTATTAAGCAAAGGGTGGGTTTTCATCGGGGTAGCTCTGTGGCAGAGGAGCACGGATTGGGCTCAGTTGTTCCGACTCCAAGTCAGAAATGGGTTGGTTCAGCTGCTCTGGGGAATTTGGTCTGTACTATGCAAATGGATACAGTGCCAGCGAACACCAGTGCCCATTGCCTAATCAGCTATACAGGCTGCTGATAGGTTATCGTACTAATTAATGTCATGTTGTTATCAATTCCTACTGTTGATGGAAATGCACGTGAGAAACATTACTCAAAACATCCTGTTTATCTCCATTAATTGTGGGTTTCTTCTACTGTCCTGTGCCATTTGCAACACCAGATGTGATGCTATAATGCTGCAGTAAGAGGAGGAGAAAGCCCCCCCCCCCGCCGCCAATGCACCCTTACTGAGCCTCTTTGGGTGCACTCTCCCTGTGCCCTCCCACGGACTGCAAGTCCCCCTGGTCTGCTGAAAGCCAGTGGTATTCTTTATTGCTTGTGCATAAAAACACTTCAGACCATGTCTGGTCTGCAGGTACTGCCCTCTGGATGAGAAAGCTAAGAGGAATCAAAAGCGCGAGTCGTCGTTCTAGAGGGTTTTCCAGCTGCCTTTAAAAGAAAATGAGATTTTTTAAAATGCGCCTTCTGGCCTTTGAGAGCCCACCGTGTTGGAGGGGCACTGGTGGGGCTGGGGCTGTCGGTGGACTAAGCTACTTGAGCCCATGCCATTTCCCAGTTCGACCCGCTCGCTCAGACCTGCGCCTCCAGCCCAGCCACCCCATTTGGCATCAAACGATTCCTCCTAAATCACCGCTCGAAGCTGAATTTAAGCAAAAAAAGGTCAAGCCATAGCAAATTGTGGTAGCAATAAACAGTGCTGCTTGCTGATGTCTCACTCTGATCCTCAAGGTAGAGCTGGTCCCAGTTGCTGCCACCTCTTGGTCCCTGGCCTTTAGATCTAGCCCTCCCAGTTCGGAGGGGACGCAGCCGGGGCAGCGCTGTCCCCCTCGGAGCTGCCCTGTGCGATGCTGCTGGAGGTGAGGAGGAAGGCGGAGTAGGCGAGGTCAGCATCCTCTTTGGAGCTCTGGGGAAGGACAGAAGGACACTGTTAAGTGGCTGGGGACAGACAGCAGCATGTGGCAGGGGAAAGGACAGCATTAACACGGGCAGCACCGCAGGGCCGTGAGCTTCTTGGGATGATACGGGCAGACTGAACGAGTGGGACAATCCGGCGGGTCACGCCGGTGGCGAGGCGAGAGCATCACGCCTTTGCTCAGCCTCGGGGAAGACCCCAAACGTTTGTGGGTTTGGGACTTCGCGGCATGCCTGTCCCCGCGTTGTCAGCATCCAGCTTACCTGTCCTAAAGCTGCTGGGTTTTACTGGTTTCCTGATAGTTTCCTTTATTGCTCCGGTTCAGCTCTTGGCACTTACTTACAACAGCTACATATCGCCTTTGGTTAGGGACTTTTAAAAAGAAGGGCTTGCATCTGGCACCTTTGGTTACTGCTGAGTGGTGCCACTCAACCATGATCTTACCCAAGGGGAGGGGAGGCAGGGGGGAGGCAGGGGGAGGCAGGGCCACAACAGCAAGTCACAGCCCTTGTGATGGCAGAGACCTCCCT